GCGACCCCGACGACGACCTCCTTGCAGTGGCATCACGTAGCCACCTCACCGAGACGACTCGACTTCTCCTTGGTACCGACAACGTTGTCCTTCTTCTCGACTTGCTCGCGCAGCCGCACGACCACGCTTCAACTCATCGCACAAGAGCTTTTGGACCAAGGAAGAAAGGCCAGCAACAACGTTCAGCTAGCCCAAGCGTGGCGGCTCAAGTTACTACGCTGTTGGAGGCTGGGGAAGTCGGCGACAGGCGCAACCACTACGACCGAGCAGCTCGAGAAAAATTGGCAGAGCACCTCCTCAAGCACACGCAGGCGAAAATGAATTCCAAGTAACATTTTGTCGTTGAAGAAACGGCGTCTCAAACATCCGATGCAACTGAGCTCCTTGATCCGCCGGCAAGACTGCTTGATGCGGTCTCTTGATGGACCGGTAGAGGACCAAAATTCATGCTGGTTGGAGGAACCTCTGGTTACCAGAGGTTGCAACCAGAGTCTGGTTGCACCAGCCCACGGGAAATTAATTGCCTGTCTGTCTGTCTCTGTGTCCATCGTAGGACCCAAGGGGATCATGCCTACCCTGGGGTGGATCCGCCATGATGGACATACTCAAATGCGAGGAGGAAGACGTTGTCGCCACGATGAAGCGGCGTTCGGGCACAATATCGCATGCAAGCATGATACCCAACGTTTTGTCGCCAACAAGGCAGCGTACAATGCCCTATGTGTGTGTCTGGATCGACCCGGTCCCCGCCCTCAGAGCTCCTTGGGACCCTAGGGTAGGCCCTCCGACCGAGTTTTGGCCCAAGCTTCGAACCGTGGCTATGTATCGCGGCGTGTCGCTCACGCTCTTTCCCATTGGTTGGGAAATCGAACAAGCCACCGTCATTATCTGCCCGTGTACCGATGTTGGCTCCTCGTCTCACTTGAAGTTCCAAAAGCAACGCCAGGCAAAGCCAAGGCACGCGCCGCCCAGGTTTCTTACCCAGCCCACTCCGCAGCAACCCAGTATACGTGTTCCGCGTTATCTGCATTATGACACAAAGACTTCGCATACGTAGCGCTACGCCTGAATGCGTGGGAGTTAGCACTTGGTCGTTGGGAGTGAGCTGCGTACGCAGAGATCCATCCCGTGACCCCACTCGCCGAGTTTAGCTCGCGCGAGGTCGTACGCAGGCTCCTGTACTCGGACCGCCCGACAGAGGAGTGCAAGCCGTCGGGTGTGTTTCAAACGAAACCGTCCGAGCCCGCATCCGAATAAATCCGGATACCGATCGAGCGCGCGACGCCGCACGCTCCCCGGCCGGACGACTGGTGGCAGCGGTGAAGGTCCCATTGGTTGGGAAATGGAACAAGCCAGCGACATTTTGTGCTCGTGAACCGATGCTGGCTCCTCGTCCCACTTGATGTGCGGCCCTTGCGTACTGCAAAAGTTTTTGCAACCGACCCATCGATGACCTCGCTCTTCCACCTCCTCGGCCAGCCCGAGATCGCGTCCATGGTGTTTGAGTTTCAGTTTGGCGTCTACGAAGACGTGCGCCCGGCCTTTCTCGCGTTTCACCGCCTCGTTGAGCTCGGCACCGGCGACTACGGGCCCGAGTACCACTGTGAAGTGACGTTCCACCGCGAGTTTGCCCCTGGCGCCAGGTGGACGTCGCCGTGGAGTGAATCGATCGATACCTACGCCTGCATGCTCGACAAGGTCACACGCGACGCCCGCTTTCCGCTGCACGTTGCAATATACGAAGGCTTTGACGACATGGCCAAGCGCATCTTGCATTGCCGTCCGGATCTCGCCTCGGAAGACGCGATTCTGCTCGCTTTTATGGAGAACCGCCTCGAGATGGCCGAGTTCCTCCTCGACCAGCGTTTGGTGGTGCCTCAGCTGCATCGACGTGTGAACGCGGTGGCGCCGCCACCACCTTTCGACTTGCATGAATCTTGGCCGACAGTCCTGGAGCGGCTCATGGGCAACGAGAACCCAAAGGCGATGCCTCTGCTCTTGCGCTTCAACCCACGCCCGGGTGTGTGGACAGCCAACATGCTCTCTCTGGCGACGCGGCGTGGTCGCCTTGACAACATTGTGTTTGCGATCGACCACTTTGGGTGGTTTCAGCACCCCGATCTTATCAAAGACGTGGCGGCGTTCGGGGCGCTGAATCTCGTGCGAACGCTACTGGAGCGCGGTTTGTTTTGCTCCACGGCAGTTCTGGACACGGCCGCATTATCTGGCTTTCTCGAGATGGTCGAGTGCCTCCACGAAAACAGTCGTGGTGGCTGCACGACCGATGCCATGGACGCGGCCGCCCGCTGCGGCCATCTCGACGTGGTTAGTTTTCTGCACGAGCACCGCACCGAAGGCTGCACAGTCGGCGCCATGAACAAGGCGGCCCTGTACGGCCACATTGCGATCGTCGAGTTCTTGCACGTCAACCGCCGCGAAGGCTGTACGGTCGAAGCGATGGACAATGCGGCTCGGTTCGGTCGTTTCGAGGTCGTCCAGTTCCTCCACTTCCACCGGACCGAAGGCTGCACGACCAAAGCGCTCGACAATGCCATTTGCAACGGCCACCTCGACGTTGTCCGCTTCCTCGTGGAGCACCGAAGCGAGGGCGCTTCGCCCAACATTATGGATAGAGCGGCCGCCCACGGCTCCCTCGACATGGTCCAGTTCCTCCACTCTCTTGGCACGCTGGACTGCACCGTCGATGCGGTCGACCGCGCTGTCGATTTTGGCAACGAAGGCGTAGTGCATTTCCTCTTGGCTCACCGACGCGAAGGCGGTAGTCGCGACAACGTCGTGCGCCTCGCGCTCCAGAACCGACACGTTTCGATCGCCAAGCACTTGCTCTCGCTCGGCTACCCGTTCCCGTCACCGACGCCCCATTTGTGGGACTTCGACATGGCGACGATTCAGTTCTTCGTGGCTCATGGTGCGCCGTGGAGCACCGAGTGGATGGACGTGGTGTGCGGACGACGGGACTTGGTGTTTGTCAAGTTTCTTCACGAGCACTCGACCGCGGGATGCACCACGGACGCGCTCGAACGCGCGATTCTGTCCGAGTCGTGGGACGTGGTCGACTTTCTTTTGGCCCACCGACGCGAAGGCGTCTCGGCCAAAGGCTTTGTGCACATCCTCAACCGTCTACACATGACGGCTGTGCTCAACACTCGACACGCTGAGGTTGTGGGCCGTCTCCTGCAGCGCCAGCCCGAGCTCCGCGACGACCCCGTGGTCCTCGATGACCTCGTCCATTTCGGGCTACCTGACGCACTGCAGTTTGCGCTTGCAGCGGGCTTTGCTCAGCCGAGATCGGCTCTCATCAAATTTGCGGGGTGTCCAACGGTCGCCTCGAATTGCAAGTTCGTGCTGCCGTACTGCATGGACGCCAGTGGTCATTTCGAGAACGTTAGCTTTCTTGTCGACCTCGTCGCGCTGCCCGACCGCTGGCGACCGACGATGCTCGATTTGGTATCGCCCGAGCTCACGTACCAGATGCAAAAGGCCAGACAGTGTGTCCAACGCGTCGACAAGCTTGTGGCGCACGAGACAGCGCTCTTGGCGCGGGGCGACGTTGTGGACGCGGCGTTGGCGTTGGCGTCTGGGCATCTCTGGAGCTCGCACGCGACGGCTGATGGCGCGCGTTTAGCTACGTGGGCAAGCCTGGTACAAGACGTGCCTCTCAAGGAGACGCTCACAAGTCTGCTGTCGCACAAGCGCAAGCGCACAACGCCGATCTGATACTCTCTGTCGCTAAGGATCCAATAGTTGCTCCATTTTCCTTAATATCATACGTGTTCCGATGGTATACTCGAGCATGGCGCTACCTACAACACTTACTTGATTGCAGCGCTCAAGGTGCTCAACCCAAGTCTGGGTCTTTCACGCTTATGTGCGAGGCTTAGCTGCGAGATATCGAGTCGAGTGCATATCGTGGTTCATATAAAAGCCGTGAACTTCAACAACAAACCTGCATGCGACTGTCTCACACACGACCAAGTGTCCAGGCCAACACGACCACGCTCCACCGTAGCCAAGCATGGTAGCCAAAGGGTATTCCACTGGCGCAACGAACAAGAGTAGGCGCCTTGGGCCAACGTTCCGTGATGGGAACGGTAGACGTGTCCACCTCTCGACGTGACATTCAACGGAACGGTCGCCCACAAATAAGAAATGAGATGGGGCGAATTGTTCTTGTGGCGCCACTTGAGCATTGGCGACAACGACAAGAACGCACCGCCGGCGCTTCAATGCTTTAAAGTGTCACGAAAGATATGGTATCCGTTGATGGCTCACCGCCAACAACTGGCACGGACACCACATGGTCGTCGTGACCACCGCAGCAACACCAAGCTATACGTTGCCTTCTCGCCTCCGCGTTCGCAGGCCGATAGCACTCCGACTCGACTCGGCTTCGTGGTTGGTCATTGCGCGGCGTTGTACGTGCGGCCGTGCACCGCCGCGTCACGCTGCCGTGCACCACCCTGATCAGACACATGCACCCTGCGACGGAGACATCGAGGAGGAACACTTTGTCATCCACGTGTCGCAGCCACGTGCAAGCAATGGTCCAAGTGATGGAGCGGGAACCGTGCATCATTTTCAGATTGTTAGATTGCAGCATGCGAGAAGGCCGTGTCAAGACCGTCTACATTCTCTCGGACGAAGAAGATGCTGCCGTCGACTTTGCCGCCGCAGCCGAGACGCCGCCGGGGGCGTGGAAGACACCGCTCTTTACAAACGCGTGCGCCGACACGCCAAACCTCGCGATGGCCGTCTGCTGCCCGTGCGTCGCGCTCGGCAAAGTGCTAGCGATCGTCGGTGTCATGAGCTGCAAGCGCGCGGTCGTGGCCAGCGGTCTATGGCTCCTCCTGCTGTTGCTGGCCATTTTGAACCTGCAAAGCGAGACGCCGTGGCCGGGCGGGCCGGGCGGCGCGTACAGCGTTGGGTTTGTCGTCGTCCTTGCGCTCGTCCCGTCGCTGACACTCTTCAACCTCCGCTTTCACATACGCGACCACGACAGCATTCCCAAAGCCGACTGGGAAGATGTGTGCTGTGCGATCTGGTGCTTTCCATTTGTCCTCGCGCAAATGACGATCCAAGTCGAAGCCAACACGCCGGGCGAGTGCGATTTTGAAGACAATGCAACGTTGATTGCGTACTCGACCGCCTAGTCTTTTGTTTGTTAGCGTTTACTAAGTTATCTTTTTTTCTTATTTTTTCCGATCTTTCATACTAGTATTCCGCGTTCGCGCTGCAACGCCACGTTTCGTGCCCTCGTGCGGTCCAAAACGACAGGTAACATGGTGGAATACCGTACAGTACCGTCGTTTGCATCATGAGGATCCAAAATGGAATAAAAGATCAAGGGTTTAGGGTTAGGGTTGAAGCTAGCAAAAGAGTTCCTTGTGAAAGTCAAACCCGTAGAGGTGGGCAGCGACCTGCACGTCGTGCACAAACGACTCGGGGCCGCACGCGAGCACGCAGGTTCGCCCTTCAAACCGCTTCATCTCGTCCCGAACGTCCGGCCGGCCGGCTGCGTACCCGACCATCTCGCCCGTGACGGTCTTGACGTGGCCATCGTCGGTGGCGCTGCTCACAAAGAGGTCGGCGGCGACGCGAAGCGGGAAGAGCACGGGGGCGACACTCAGGAGCGCCTCGGGCTCGCGCACGACCCAGCAGAGGTGGCATTCGATGCTGCTGTGCGTCTGCAGCGTGCTGTTGAGGATGTGCGCCATGGGCGTGATGCCAATGCCGCCTGCAAACAGTAGCACGCGATCGTAGAGCGCGAGATCGACGCTCGGCCGGCCGTACGGGCCACCGACAAGCACATCGAGTGTCGTCTCCTTGCGTGCGAGGTCGAGGACGCGGTCGGTGAAGCTGCCCGGCGATCGGCTCTTCATGCAGAACGCGACGTGGCCCGTGTGCGGCGACGTCATGGCCGAGAATGGATGCCACTCGACTCTCGAGACGCTCGGGACGCAGAGGTAAAAGTACGTGCACGGCCCGAGTTGTTGGTGCCAGGCGTTCGAGAGCTTGGTCGACGGTAGCTCGAGCAGCACTGTCGATGACGTCGTCGCCGTCACGTGGGCGGAAAACCGCTGCCAAAATGCACGGGACCGAATCGCAACCAGCGTCGCGAGGTAGAGCACGAGCGGTGCGACGAGCGCTTGCCAGATCGCAGTTGCATGCAAGCACACAAATACAATGCCGAGGAGGGACCCGAGACGGTGGACAAAATAGAAGAGCTCAAACGTCCTTTGGCGGACGAATGGCAGCGCCAGAAGACCCATGAGGACAAACACAAGTCCGGCGTAGAGACCGTAGGCGGGCAGCACCTTTTGCGCGCCAAACGGCTGCAAGGACGAGAGGACACTCCAGTCGAGCGTCGCAACGTTCAAGACAAAGTGCCCGAGAAGCGAGACGAGGAAGAGACTTCCTAGCCACTTGTGAAACGTCACCAACCGCGTGTGCGTGACGCCAAAGAGAAAGCCCCAGTGACCGCCGCGCGCCGACGGCAGCAAGAGAAACGCCAAGTGCAACGTGCTCAAATGACCAAAAATGACACTCGCTGCGCGGCCACCCGAGAGCGACCGCACAGTCGGAAGCACGACACTGATTGTGATTCCGATGAGCATGACATACAAGCCGACAAGGGTCGCTTGGCCCACGCTGAGGTCGGCGAGTGCTTGATGCAAACTGGTGGCGATCGACGACGAGCGATGCGCGGGCGGTGCAAGCAGCGAGCTTCTCAAGAGCGGTGACAGACTCGAGCGCGCGGTCGCCAGCCCGAGCAACCCAAAGAACCCGATCGCACCGAGCACGACTTGGTACGTGGCCATCGGGATCGCCGCCAACGACGCGCTCATCTGAAGGGCCGCTTTCGAGCCGTTGGACGCAGCGTTGTCGTCGTCGGAGGGGATGGTGATGTGGATGCTCTGAGCGCCTTGGTCATCGTGGTACGATGGAAAGCCTTTACCATAGGCCCAGAGAAGAATGTTGTTGCCGTTGACCAGGTCGATGGGCACGTCGTTGGTCGAGACAGCGTCAAACTTGTGCTCGTACGTGACTGCGAGCTCGCCATTGACGGCCGACGATGACCGAATCGTCATGGACGACGGCGACGTTTGTCGCTCCATGTGGTTGTTGCTGTAGCCTCCGAGCACATACACGTCAGCGTTGTTCTTCTTGGCGTCGTAGATGACGGCGTTGTTGGGTGGGTTGTTGACCATGTACTGGGAGCTGCTGAGGCCGAGCGAGATCCAGTCGGCGCCATCGCCATTGTACGAGAGGCGGAAGCACACGGACGCGTTATTGACGCGGACCTGCACGGCGAGCGCGCCGCCGAGGACGTTGCGGTGCATGGCCTCGATGCCATCGCATGACGAGGCCGGAGAGGACGACGCGATGGCCACGCTCGCGACGAGAAGCGAGCGCAGCAGCATGGCAAGTCGAGGACTGGCATGACGCAGGCTGGCGCAGGCCCATGCAACAATTGAGCAGTATCCGGATGGCGTAATCCATCCGGGTTGCGGATTGGCCGACACGAGAAAGGCAGCAAAAACACACCCACCCGTATCCGGATCCAAACAGCAAACTCGAATCTTGGCGCGCGTCGTGACCACGCGATGGCCCATTAGGTACACAAGTCGATGCCAGGTGCACCCACACGTGCAGGGCTTGAGCCTCTTGTACGCTTGCGCCAGATTACCCAAATGGTGTTGTAGAACCGCACGGAATATACATGCATTTAATGTTAGTCAAGGGAGGAATTACGTAGAGGGAAGGAATTACGGCAGCAACCCGTCAGTGTAGAACGATTTCATGGCGTCCTTGGTCACGTGGCCGGCGTTTTTGGTGTCGTTTTGTGCAAACCACTCACGGCCGTCAAAGTTGTCGGCTTCTTCTTTGCCCATGGCGATAGTCACGATCGCGCGCATGCACTGTATGGCCTTGCGCTTCCCGAGGACGCCCGTGTTGTTCTCGTCGTACATTTCAAAGAGTTCGTCGACAATCATGTTCCATGCATCAATCGCTTCGGCCAAGTCTTGCTTCTCGAGCTCGTCGGCGGTCATGGCACTGGTTTCGGGCGTCGCATCCATGGTTGGGAAATGCCGAAATGGAAAATGGGTCCGTTGGAGATGAATGCCAGCGACGCACGCGGCTTTGTACGACAACATAAAGCCACGACAACACTGATCGAGTAGCTTTCAACCGAACAGCGACGTACGTGACAACTCATCATGCGGCGCAAGAGTCACGGCAGTGTCAGTTGCGATGGACGCACATTTTTGTGCAATGCTTCGTCCAACGACCGTTCGACCAGAAGCAGCAGTCAGCGTCCCTCTTGTAGCTGAACTATACTAGCACTGCATGTAGTACGCAGCAGAAAGCACATAAACATGAGCATTTACATTTCTCTTGGCACGACCAGTCGGCATCGGCGTAGCTTTGAACCGAAAGCAATGCATTTCTGTTTTGAGATCTGATTGCCAAGACTAAGCCACCAATCCAACCAGTGAGTGCAATAAGATCTGAACAGTACCCAGATATTTTGCGTCGTCGGCACAACTCGGGTTTCGTAGCATGACAACTTGTTTATGTTTATAGTGTCGCTCAAAGCGCAGACAACTTGCGGGTTTCTCACGAGACCGCGTTCACACGCGGTGGTACCATTGGCT